AGTGGGAATAACGCTAGCATACATCTATAGAAACCGAAAAAAGAACGGCGTTTGATCAGATGCCGTGCACATATAACTGGTTTAGTGCTGACCCGATACAATTTGTCATGGAAACATCCTATACACTAAAAAATTGAGCCTTGAGAATGAAAACTTTCTTCGAACGTCTTCATTACGAAAAACTTTGATTTTTCAAGTAGCAATCTTGAAGTTCATGAATTGATCAATAAATAAATTTTAATTGTGGATATTACGGGCCGATAAAATACAAAGCATGTGTGAATTCACAGATCTGTCGTTTTCATAAAGTGGAGATTAGAAAAAAGAAAATCACTTTAACAGAATGAAATAATCTTGTGCCAATGATCCTGAGCGTCCCAATCATACTGGATACATGGTCAGAGAAAGAGTAAGAAATTAAAGATAATCGGTTCGGTCGTTCTTCGTTGGACGAGAGTGATAGCCAAAAAGGATATTCAAGGACGAAAATAAAACGAAACAAAGACGAAATTTATGTGAAGGCCTAAAACACTAGTAACTGAAAGAAGTTCAAATATGGAAGCATAAATAAACAAACCGATTTTATTACATCATGCATTAGCTGCACTTGCCACGTGCCTATCAACAGTTCCATCTAGAGGCCGGATTACATTGGTCGAAGTTCACGTGACATAATGTGCGAGATAGTAGTCGTGGAAATAGAACAGCATGGCCAGCGGTTGTCCGATAATCAGTGTGATCCAAACAGCTAAGTTGCCCCAAGCTCCACCATGGGGAAACATCCAATGCACCAAATGCGCATATGGCATCTGACCGAACATGCATAGAAATGCCCACATTCGGGGCATTTTCAAGGGAACAGAAATGAGGAATTCGTGAAGTAGGGCGCTGATAAAGAATACGGCCAAACCGGCCTGCGGTCGGGTGAAACCACATCCAATCAGGGGCAAGTATATGTGGCTATGAAAGGAAAACAATACAGAAATGGGGCAAAAAATTGTTTGCATTGCATGAGTGGCACGACGATCGAAATGGAGTATTTAAAATTAAGTGGATATAGCAAAAATCTGAGACACCATCAGCTGGGGAACCCATTACATAATAAATAAATACGCATCAAAGAAGTATACATATTGTCATCTACCGAAGCCAGATTTCCTCTGAGGATTGATAGGGCCTTGGTTTCGCTTCTTACGGGGTGCAAGTGTTAAGTTATCCGCATGGTAGTTTCACTCGCTAGTTCAAGAGGGTGAGACAGCTTCGATTGAAGTGCGAATGCGATAATAACCGAGAGGAGATAGCTAGGTTGACTAGTTTCGCAGAAGTNCGCAGAAGTAGAACATCAACATCAACAGGGACTCCCCCAAGAAAAGATGTCTGAACTGTGTTAAGGACAGACCGACTGTATTGGTGACAGGGTGTTAAGGTGCACGGGGTACCCTAAACATGCCGACCGCCTTCGCCTGAACCCAGTGAATGAAGGCCGATTCACAACTGATTGCGGTGTTGTTTTCCAAACTGAGTAGGAAGATGAGTACACAACGAATTAAGCAGTACGATTATTGTAACGGTAATTATGTAGCCGGTCCACAAACAGAAACGCCAACACGTAGGAAGGCAGGCAGGCCGACACCGACTCACACGTCGCACTACATCTCAATTCAGTTTCACTTTGAACAACCACTAACCATGCACTTTCGTGCGCCGGTTTTGGTTGCTGTCTTTTGGCTG